TTTTTTTTTTTTGTCTGTTACCACTTTTTCTCAGCTCTCACCGAACCGATTTCTTTCAATGATACGTCAAAAGATCACAAATCGTATCTAGTCGAAGACATTACCCTCAAAAATTGAAAAAATTTCCCTCGTTCTCCGTAAATGGGGGAAACCTCCAAAAAAATTACAAATTTAAAAATCGCTAATTTTCGAAATTTTTTCAATTTTTTTTACTTAATAGTGCCATAACTTTTTCAAAAATGAACATATCAATATAATTATTTTTTATATAGATGCATAATATCATTACCTTTCATTTGGTATATTTTTTCATAAATTTAACCCTTAACCTGCACACAAGGGGGGATTTAAAATGACAACTTTTTCAAAAAAAACTTTTTCAACTTAACTTTTGAAAATGTTCCGGAAGGTCTGACACTTTTATATATATCTTAAATTAGAGCTAATGTAATATACTTTATCATGAAAAAAAAAATTTTGGACTTTATTTTATCTTCAGGGTGAAAATGGCTACCGAATGCTATTTTTGTGTGAAAAATTTCGTTTTTGTATTTTACATTTTTAACATTATTATGCTATAACTTTTTGAAAAATGTATGGATCAGTACAATTTTTTCATGAGGAGTAGTATTTATATACATCTTTCATTTGACATACTGTTTTTTAAATCGGTCCATTTCCCTATATACGAGGGGGGTTCAAATCTAAATAAATAAATGTAAAAATTAGAAGCCATAAAATGTAAAAATAAGAAGCCATAAAAATGCAAAAAAAAATTGAGAAGCCATAAAAATTTGAATAAATGAGAAACCATAAAAAGGCAAAAAGATTTAAAAGTCATAGAATGGCAAAAAAAATAGATGCCATATAAATGTAATAATGAGTAGTCATAGAATTACTATAATGATAATTGAATGTTAGTATTAATTTCTACTGTCATTCTCGTGATATTAATATAATTAATATTTTAGAATGGTAAGACTTGAACCGTCTAACAGTCTAAACAGTAGTGCTCTTTGTCAAGTTTTAGTAATACAAAGTCATCTTTACTAGGAACAATTCATCCGATTTTTCGCACTCAAATATATCGATTTCTACTTAAAAATCTGAATTTTTGAATTTCTTATTGTAGATCGTGTCAAGTGGAAGTTTAGGATAAAGGTGGCCGACCCCAAGTAGTCGAGATTAAGGCGAGAAAGAAGAAAAAGAAGTAATATACTAATATTTTACTGTAGGACGACGCTGCCGGTCGTCCAAAACCCGTACATAAGGTCGCAGCTAACCGTAACCGCACGCACATGATTGGACGTCTCGTTTATAATATACGTTTCAAAATATTGTTTGGACGACGCTGTCGGTCGTTCCAAACATTGCTCGTGTCTTCATGCGTAACTGCATATACCGAGGGAAATAATTTTAATGTTCGCACACGACAAATGTATTATAACTATTTTACTACTTAAAAATTAGTATTTTTAATGAAAATGTAAAATTAAGAATATACAATTAATTTTCTTCTTTTAATTAATTATAATAGGGGGTGTGATCGTCTCTTCGTCCAAACCACGAGCCGCTACTGTATGTAGCTAAATTTTAATTGGGCACGGATATGATTATTATTGATAGTAAAAGAGATTTTTTTATTAATAGTAGAGCCATGAACATTATGAATTTACACATCTCGACGTTAATATTTGCTAAGACGGATAAAGGCATTGTGAAACAGAATCGATGATTCAAATGATGAGGTCCCTACATAATAGGCGTTCGTATTAAACTTACATTTTATTAGAATTTTATGAATTAACGGTAGATCTAGCAGGGAATACAAGAAGCACTTTCTTTGTGAAAAATTTTTTCGATTTTGTATATTATTTTATTTTAAAACACCTCACAAAAGTTTTTGAGTTAGAAAAATATGTTTAACTTATTTGATTTTTATCTTATTTAGATACAATAACTTCAATGAATATCTAGAGGAACCCATCACTGTAGTCTCCCCTCGTGAGAATAAATGTCTTATTTATATTAACATTAGTTTACTATGTGGTTTATTTTGTAACTGACATTTGTTTTTTCAGCTCTCACTTGACCAATTTTTTTGAACGATACATTAAATGATCACAACTGGTATCTAGTTAAAGATATTATCTTAAAAAATTGAAAAAGCAATCCCCTTTATCAAATAAAAAGTTGCTTAACCATATAGACTAGCTTCATCCAATTAAATCATTTATTTCTAATAATTAAAGTATTTATTTTTGAATTAGGTTTAATATGATAATAGGTTTCAACTACAAAATTAAATAATGTGACTTTGTTATTTATTAAATTTTTAACTTCATTTGTACATGCAACAACCAGTCTAAAATATTCCAAATTCTTTGGTAACATGTTGCTATATAAAAAAATGATTTTTTTAGTTTCACTTGAATTTAATAATGGATTTTTGCAATTGTAATCAAATTTTATATTACACTCAATTGAGTAGATCTATTTAACAACTTTTTGAGGTTTTTTTTAGTTAAAGTAAATTATTTAAATTAATTAAGTTCTGAATATTTCAATTGTAGAATCTTTTTAAACACCAAAATTTACTTAGAAATTATTACTATGAAAGGTAATTATAATATTTCCTGACTGCATATTAATCTTAACAATATCATTTTTTTAATTTTGATAAAATTTTCTAATTTAAATGATGTAATTTCAAATTTGCAAGTTGAGCTAAAAGTCAGGGTAATAACTTTTAGCTGTTTTTATGTGTCAATACTCGTTTTTAACTAGTTATTAATAATATCAAAAATTAGTGGTGATGGAAAAAATTCTAATTGATTTTAAATCAGCGAGAAAAATTGGTTTTGAAAAGTATATTTTTGACTGTGATGAAAATTACTTGTAGACCATTTATTCATAAATATATATTTAAATAATAAATATGCTTTGTTTTTCTAAATAATTATAATTTTTTTTTTAATGTAATTTTGTGTTTAATTAAATTTTTTCATTAAAAGAAGAAGCCATTATAAATAAAATAAAACTCTCTTGATAAAATTATAATTAATTTCATATTTGTATAATCAATTAAAGAAGTTTAAATTAGTCAAAATAATTTACAGCAGTGAAAATGATGATCATTAAATTTCTCAATAAGTTTTATTCAAGTGACAGTTTTTACATTTTTTACCAATTTGAGTACATAATAACTTGATACAATTAGTATTAATACATGTTTATGAACTATTAATTTATTTATCAAATATACTTTCTTTTAAATAATGCATGATTAATACTAAAAAAAGTAATATATTTTAATAACTATATTGATATTTTGTCAATTGAGCTTTGAAAAACAAAAGTATAATAACTAATTACTCAACAATGTATTTATGATTAAAAAAAGATCATTTTGTTTTTAGATATATACAAACATATATAATTATCTATTTAAAATTATTATGATATTTCAAACATTAATTGTTAAGAACTAAATATAAGATGATTAACTTGTAAATTTAATTGATTTCCATTGATTACATTTATACAAATTAACACCAAAGAAAATATAATGTTTAATACTAGACAATAAAAAAAAATAAAAATTAGGTTTAAAAATATATTATAAAAAAATTAAAAACAGCAACCATTGAAACACCAATAAAATTCATTAATAAAAAAACAAAAGTATAATAAATATTGTTCTTTAAGTATACAATAAATCACAAATAAAATTAATATGTATAAAATTAAAACTCATTCAGAAAGAAAGGAACTTCTACAAAATTGTCATTGTAATTTATTTTAAGATTGACTAGTTACTAAAAAAGTATGAAGAAGAAATGTTTACTAAAAAGTTCATTATTAAACAATATAAATTATACTATCACCATAATGTGATGATCTTATAAAGTAAAATTTTCAAGCATAATGTATTGGTTTTATTTTGGAAATATGAAGGTAACTGTTAAAAAAACAATATTAAATAGGGGAGTTAATATGCACTCAGTTTAAATAATTAAAAATATTCATCTTTAATTGTGTAATATATGCTATTTACATAAAAAAAATCTACAAGATAATTCTTTTAAAACTTATTTTATGAAATAGAATCACAGCAATTTAAAAAAAGCTGCACATAACAATTAACTGTCTAGTGATAAAAATTATTTTATGGTAATAATTACAAGACCTTGCAAAACAAAAATAATATATAGTTAGGAATATGGTCCCTTACAAAATTAAAAAAAGTTTAATTTCCAGTAAATAAAAATTTGAGTTTAAATGCTTTGTAAATTGTATAATTATTATTAAAAATGATTCAAAATCAACAATATTTAGTTATTGTTGAGTAAAATATAATACATTTTAAACATATAACAAAAAATTATAATTATTCACGGCTTTTCTTTAAATACCAAGTTGAAAAAAAATACATAAATCAAAAATTTATGAATATCATCTAATAATAAATTTATATGAATATATATAATTATATTATTATTAAGTTATATTAAAATTACTATTTTAGAATTTTCACAAATATTTAAAATTCACAACAAAGTACACCCTTTACATTTTTGAACATTTTCACCATCACCTAAGTTAATAACTGGATTTGGATCATCTTCAATATGAGCACTTTGATCGTGTTGTTTCTAACATTATAACATCAATAAATTATATAATATTGTACTTTAATGACTGCAAAATTAACACAAACCTTGAGTTCAGATGCTATGGTTACAAAAGCTTCTTCAATATTCTTATTTTCTTTAGCTGAGGTTTCTAACACAGAAAGTAGTTCAGGAAAATATTCACACATAGCTTCTGCTTCAGATAATTCGACTTGACGGTTCTCTTCGAGATCACATTTATTTCCTAATATATAACTAAGTATTAAGATGATTTTAGTAAATTTATATAGTTAAAGTAGATCTTACCAATCAAAACTAATAAAACATTGGATGAAGTGTACCGTCGAACTTCTTCTACCCATCTTTGTAAGTTGAGGAATGTAGCTCGCTTTGTAATATCATAAACTACAAGAAAAATTAAGAAATCTTTATTTTATAAATTAAATATTTTTCATAGAGAAAAGCATTATGTGTACAGCATAAACACATTAGATTTATAATAAGCATTTAAAAATTTTTAATAGGAAACAAAATGTAAACATAGCTCTCTGTGTACATTTTAGCAATTATCAGAAAAGAACTGTTCTTATTTTATAAAGACAGTAATATTATCATATTGTACATCAAAATATTAGTGATTGTAACAGAAAATTAATTTTTGTAAAGTAGCTCAACAAAAACTATTATTGTTAAAAAAATAATATAGTGCAAAACTCTAATATTTTCAAAGACATGTCGTGAAGCGTAGTGAAGAAATCACCTGTAGTTTGAAGAACTGAGATATTGCAGTATAACTGAATTAAGATTTTTTTTTTTTTTTGTTACAAAAATTACTAGATACAAGTTGTGACAATCAGATTACATAATATTTTATTTAAAAATTTGATAGAGTTCATTCACTATTGAAGTTCTTATACATTATTTTAAAACTAAATTATTAGTTTAATGCCTAATAATAACATAAAATAAATAAATAGAATTTTTTTCCATAAAAACACAAAATACATATTTCAAATTTATTTTAAATAGTTTTAATTTAATGTTTATAAAATAAGAATTATATTCAATTCCAATTAAAATCAGGGACAATCTCATAACTCACAAATTGACCACTTTTTTTAATTTTTAGATGATAGATTTTAATATATTTAAGAACTTATTTTTGTTCATTACAATATGATATAAGAAAAAATGGGTCATTTAAATTTAAATACAGCTCATGTTCTTCACAAACTAAAACTCACATCAACACAAACTTAGCTACACATTCCATTTATATTTTTGATATAAATAAATAGAATAAAACAGATCTAATTAACAACTCTCATAACTTTTGATACAATCAACATATATGAATAATTTATGCATTCTTAGACCATGTTAAAATCATATTTTTAATTATTTGTTATAATAATATAATAATTAAATTTTTTATATTAAAATTGTTTTTTTAATTTTCAAAATAGCCAGTTTTATAGCACTTCTTTTACAAGACTAATGGGTTGACAAAAATTTTTGGTTAAATATTTGTTGAGTTACTAGTATTTTAATAAATCGAGTGGATATGTAACACATAGAGTATTCACTATAAATAAATTGATGATAGCAAAAACATCTCTACTCAATTATTCATAATTATTAGATAATTGATCAAAAAAAACTGTATAATACAAATAATTTTAAAAAAAATTAATTTGAGAATCAATACTTATTAGAAACATCATATACTAATTATATATTATTTCTGTTTAAGAATATAATGTGTACTTATTATTGATCTTTAAAGTTTCTTGACTGATGTTTTTCCAATCAACAAAAATTTTAGCAAATAAAAAATTGTTTCAATACTTAAAAACAACTTTACTAATGATTATAGGTTTACATTATTATACTATAAATGTGGGTATTTATTAACAAGCTCTATTTTAGATAAAACTAATAAATACAAAATTTTTTGGAGGATCGTATATTTTCTAGAGTGATATGTTCCTCATAATGAGCACTAATACATAATTGATATTTACCTCCAAATATGTTTTACAAAGAATTGTGTGTATGGATGAAAAGTTTCTGTTGAGTGTAAAAACAAAACTAGTGATTGACTAAAAACATTTTTGTTCTCAACCAAAAATTTAAATTTATTATATAGATAAAAATAGTATGAGTAGAATGCGTTTTTACAAATATCTTAATTTTATAAATCATATGACTAGTGACTTTTCTACAATCATAGATTCAATTATAAACCATTATAAGCTATACCCACTTAAGACATTTTATGTATTAAAATGCTTGGAACTCAATAATTACTCATCTTAAAATTTTCATTTACCAATTCAAATTATTTGTTAGTTTTTCAAAATCAATTAATTTGTTTAATTAATTAAATTCATTAATTTGTCAATTTTTCATGTTAGATACTACACTACGTATAAGTTTTACAAATAAAATAAAATAAATTACCTAATAACACACCATTGGCTGATCGATAATAGCTTTGAGTAATTGTACGAAACCTTTCATGACCAGCAGTATCCCAAATTTGTAACTGTAAATAAAAATAATTATAATAAATTTATCACTAAAATATATAAACAATTAATATTTTTTATTAAACAAAATTATTGTATTTATTAAATAATTAGATTTAAGAAGTATGTTTTTTTACCTTAATAATACACTGAATATTTTGTGTTTGTATACTTTACTAGACGAAGATATGAAGTTTACAATATTTTTAAATTAAAGCTATTTAAAAATAGGAACTTTTTTTTTTAATTTAAAATAGGTGCAAATAGTTAACTATAAAATAATTATACATTTAAAATACTTCTAATAAATAATTTTTTAAGTAAGTTTTATGTGATTAAACTTTACTTTTTGTAGTCATGTTAATTCAAACAGTAATAAGTTCTTTATTTTATTATATGGTTACAATTGATTAAAATAATCAATTCTAATCATGAATAACATATTCATGTCAAAACAAAAATACTAACCAAATTATATTATCATAGTAACATGAATAATACTATTATACATTAATAGTCCCAAATTTCTTTAAAATTACTAATAACCTAGTATTAATTAACAGTCAGATATGTCTAAGAACTTTATTAAAGCAATGATGAACATATATCATATAAACATATTTACCTTGACCTTTTTGCCATCAATTTTAATTGTTTTCATTGAAAAGTCTACACCAATTGTATTTCCTTGATTTTCTGCATAAGTACCACTTTTAAAGCGTTGCACTACACATGTCTTACCTGTACCACAATCACCAATCAGAACTATTTTAAATAGGAAATCAAAATTATCCTCTGCTGGAGCCACAACTGCACTAGGTGATTGAGATGACGACCCAGACGCCTTAGACATGGTAACTAAATTTTAAGACAAATGTAAATTTATTCTGAATGGCTGAGTCGCATAACCAACATGGAACAATCTAAAAAAGTGAATATACTTGCTGATGATCTATGTAATATTAGTTTATTTTTTATCGTTATAATGTAGTAGTCACAGCTTATGTCTGAACATTTAACTTAAATCAAGTAGTAATTAATAGCTATGAAAAAAATACATCATTATCTCTCTCTTTTTGTTATCTAAACATATGTTCGTCCACAGGGCAGAAGAACTCTACTACATTAATTTCACTACATTTTTTAATACTACTGATAACAATATTTAATTTGGTTTCTATGTCTACACCTTACGCTCTTAAACTATTCATTGTGATTTACTTAGTATATGGAGGGGATATTTAATTAGCTATACAATTACTAAACATTATTTTACTCGTTTTTACGGGTCATTGTTACACAACGTTTCTAAAGCATTCCACTGCGCAGTATCAGATAATTTATAAATATTGAGTTAAAAACCTTTAAATTTTCTGTTATTTCACACATTAATAATTAGTAACTATTAAATATTTTCTAATAATACACATTTGTGAGGTAAATTAAGTCTGTTTAAAGTGAATAATGCTCTTACGATATACGTATTACGTTTTGTATAATAACAAACCTGGCATCTGTATGATACCAAGGACGTTATAAGTTTTTAAACGCTTGGTACAGTTTTTCATAGGTGCGAAGGGCAAATAGTAGTTTAGCGCGGGAAGAGGAGATTCTGAAATTTGGACAAAGCCTCAACGGAAAATATCATTATATTTATTTCTAGGTTAAAATGTGGTTTATGTAAGGAAATTTTAATAATTTTCAAAAAAAAGATCATACAGTAGTTAAAACTATATTATAACAGTATTGACTAGTAATAATATTTTCCTTCAATTGAGAACGGATTAGGAGGTAGCCTGTAAATAAGAATTTGTCTAAATGGATCAATAGCACTCGCGCGGAATTCGTGGGAATTTATATACGAAAAACATCGTTTTATCACTATTTATATAAATTTATCTTGTATGAATCAAATAGTATACATTTCTAAGTAAATGAATTCACAATAAAACTTCAAAGGTTTCGTATAAATACGTGGCTAATTTTAAAAATTTTAAAAATATTAATTCAATTTATTTTATTTAACTATAAATACATTCTTTTTAGTTTTTACTGCCTATTAATTTAGGAAAATTTAATTTGACTTTTAAATATTATATCTCATGAAAATCCAAGTTATTTCATTTGTTAATAATTATTTATTTCAAATAAAATGTAAGTTTCAAGTTTGAGGATAATATCTTTAACTAGATACCAGTTGTGATCATTTAATGTATCGTTCAAAAAAATTGGTCAAGTGAGAGCTGAAAAAACAAATGTCAGTTACAAAATAAACCACATAGTAAACTAATGTTAATATAAATAAGACATTTATTCTCACGAGGGGAGACTACAGTGATGGGTTCCTCTAGATATTCATTGAAGTTATTGTATCTAAATAAGATAAAAATCAAATAAGTTAAACATATTTTTCTAACTCAAAAACTTTTGTGAGGTGTTTTAAAATAAAATAATATACAAAATCGAAAAAATTTTTCACAAAGAAAGTGCTTCTTGTATTCCCTGCTAGATCTACCGTTAATTCATAAAATTCTAATAAAATGTAAGTTTAATACGAACGCCTATTATGTAGGGACCTCATCATTTGAATCATCGATTCTGTTTCACAATGCCTTTATCCGTCTTAGCAAATATTAACGTCGAGATGTGTAAATTCATAATGTTCATGGCTCTACTATTAATAAAAAAATCTCTTTTACTATCAATAATAATCATATCCGTGCCCAATTAAAATTTAGCTACATACAGTAGCGGCTCGTGGTTTGGACGAAGAGACGATCACACCCCCTATTATAATTAATTAAAAGAAGAAAATTAATTGTATATTCTTAATTTTACATTTTCATTAAAAATACTAATTTTTAAGTAGTAAAATAGTTATAATACATTTGTCGTGTGCGAACATTAAAATTATTTCCCTCGGTATATGCAGTTACGCATGAAGACACGAGCAATGTTTGGAACGACCGACAGCGTCGTCCAAACAATATTTTGAAACGTATATTATAAACGAGACGTCCAATCATGTGCGTGCGGTTACGGTTAGCTGCGACCTTATGTACGGGTTTTGGACGACCGGCAGCGTCGTCCTACAGTAAAATATTAGTATATTACTTCTTTTTCTTCTTTCTCGCCTTAATCTCGACTACTTGGGGTCGGCCACCTTTATCCTAAACTTCCACTTGACACGATCTACAATAAGAAATT